GTTAGCACAGCTGCATCAGATTAAAAAAAACAAGCACTCCAAAGGTTCTCCAAGCAAAGTTTTTTTTTATTCCATGTGTAGAGTTACATCACCAAGTGTAGCAACGTTTTGGAACGCATCCGGTTCCTTCATCAGGCAAAACAAAGTGATGAAGTACATGTGAAAACGCACTTAAAAATACAGGTTATCCATGCATAGTACTGCGTGCTCAAAAGAATGTAAACCGGCCCTAAATGTTTTCCATCCTGCTTGTTTAATCTGTAGGTGGAATTCCAGAGTTTGAGAGCACATCCCAAGAATCGCTTGGACTCGCAAAGCTGGGAGGGCACACTGAGAAGAACAGAAAGCTACAGAAAAAGTAAGTCTCATCTTTACAGATATGCAGAAAACTTTCATCAATTCACTGCAGTCCCTCTCCCAGAAGACGCTTACAATTTCTCAACACACACCAATTTAAGTCAGTGGGATACCTGCAAAATATCCCCTTATTAAATCTGAACCCAATTCATACTATTTTTTTTTTTTTAAAGGTTTTCTCTAATACACCATCTTACCAGTTGGATCCATACTGTTTAGATAATGAAAGTACTGCTTGTATAGCTGTAACTGACTGAAATGTATGGCTGATCAGTTGTGCACTGCCATTTTCCAAGGCTAGCCAAGCACACTTCCGCTTGTAGTGAGTCCATGAGCACATGAGAACCATGATGTAGATGTTACTTTGTTGCCAAGACTTCTGAGGAATATGCATCTGCCCTGATTTAGCGAATGGGGACTTGGTCTCACAGCTAACTGGAGCCGACCACTTGATTTGAGTTTTTGGGAAAGCCACATTGTTGTCCTGGCCCATCAAGCATGTTCTCATGCTTTCAACGTGACATTATGAACACTCACCTCGGCTGGCTGCAAATTCATTTTTAGTCAATCCTGCTACATGTGGGGGGGGGGGCTGCATACATATTACCTGCGGTATGACCCGTTACCAAACAATAGGAGTTCTAACCAATTAATACATTTTCATGAAGGAGATAAAAGTTTAAGAACCCCCTTCCTTCTTGGTAATGGTACTCACCTATTTGATGGCCGCTGATGTTTCAGCTTCTTAGTCATTCTCTCTCCCTTCAGCCTGTTGATTAAACAGCAGACCACTGATCAGGGCATCCCTCTGCTCTCCCCTCTTAAATGCACATTTACAGCCTTTTTATAGCCATATACACTGAGTGGCCAGTTTATTATGACCACCTGACGTTTGTAGGCAAATTGGCTATAATTTCGCGCTGAAGTTGCTAGAGGGCCAGACCATTATAAATAGGGAAGCAGGTTGTTTACCACGACAGTAGAAGTGATTTGTTTCTGAAGATACGGGGAAACAACGCGATTTTAACATCCTTTGAACGTGGTATGATTGTTGGCGCTCGGAGCCATGGAGCGAGTATCAGCAAAACAGCAGAATTCGTTAAATGTTCAAGAGCAGCTGTTGTTAAAGTGTTTAAAGACTGGACTGTCAGCCGGAAATCTGGGTCTGAACGTGCGAATTGTGGCCGTCAGCGACTAGTCAATGTTAGGGCAGAACGGAGAGTGGCAAGACTGGTACAAGGCAACAGAAGGGCAACAGTGCAGTTTCAGATTCCTCGCATCACCTTTCAACATCTCGTGGAGTCACGAGGCGGCCCAACGAAGTCATCTCGTGGAGTCATCTCGTGGCCCAACGAAGTATTGATGGGGTGGTCATAATAATCTGGCCACTCAGTGTATATGATGGTGGGTGAGCATTTCTTCACAGATTTATTTAAAATCAAAATAAACCAACAATAATTGAAAACAAAGTGATTTTCTTAATCGTACAGGACACAGGCTTGGTCTTGGGCTACTGGGTTATGTGCAGCCACCTTCCGTTTTGAATTTTCTTCCAGGTCCAATCTTTTGAAAATAATTTTTGGAAGTGTTCAGTTTGAACGATCCATTTTTTTTTTTTTTTTCAATTGACCGATCTAAAGGCATTTTATTTTGGAAAGTGCTTTGTATTCTTTTTGAACAGCGGAGCACATGCTCTAGCTTCCCCTGGCACTGCCACTGGGTTTTCTTTGAAACAAAATATTTAATTTTTTTACCAGCTGTCATGCAATATTATGGGAGTGTGTGCCAACAGCATCCTTGAGATACAATGCTATTTGTATCGCTGTATAAACTAACACCTACTAGGCATTTACCTGGCCAATTTTTCCAATATTGTTGCTCTTCGCATTCTGTTGCTAATATACAATAAGGGACGGATTTTGAGTGTTTTGTATTTGTTTTTCCCTACTTGCCTTCCCTTGTAATGTATTGCTACTAATAGTAAAACGGGGTGAGTATGATGATTTGCTGCATTTTGGGTGGTTTCCTCTAAACTGCACTACCTTCATGTATTCCTCATTCTATGAACAGGTGATGGTCACATTTACTGTTTTGGGGTGCTGTGTTATAATGTTTTCTCTGAAGCTTGTGGGTTTTCTTTCTGTACTTAAAACAAAGCACTATTAGCTTTTATTTCTCATTGTAAGCAGCTTGTTTAACTGTGTTGGATACAGCATGTTTGATAAAACCGGGCATTACATGGATACATGGATGTTTACATACATAAAAGTTTGAGGTTAGGTGCACACCTAGGCGACACCTCATCGTGCACGATTCCGCGCGGATTGCCGAGCAGTCAGGAGTCGCCAAGGTGTGAACCGATCGTGCTATGGGTGCCATTATTTTCTAATGGCACCCCAGTGCAGCCACGCATCGCAAAAAAGGTACTTGTACCTTTTTTCTGCGATTGCTGCACGAATGTCACCCCATTGAAATCAATGGGGCCGCGCTGCAATTGCTGCCTGCATTGTGCAGGACCGCACGACACCTGGGGCGCGTGTCCCGGGTGAAGTGTAGGTGTGAACCTAGCCTCAATACGTAGTTATGTGATACTTGTCTGCAGTGCTATTCACATTTCTGTGTTTTAAAAGCATGTGTTTTTAAAGTGAATATGTGATTTACCTAACTTTGTAAAGTGGTCCTAGGTCCATGAAGCAGCAAAGCTAGATTTTGGCGCATCCGTAGTACATCTTTTTGGGTGCTGAAATAACTACAAAAGATGGAGCAGTTGTGTAGTGGTCCTCTGCACATGTCATCCGCACATTTGTATGCTATTAATCAGCCTCTTTTATTTGTCGCATTACAAGGGATGGCAACGAGGTTTGAGAGCCACCGAAGGACACATTTCTCTAGCAACAGTGGCATGTTGCGGTCACGCCTGCCTGAGGAAGGAGTCCTTTGGTGGTTTTGCAATGTCTCTGCTCTTGTAAATGTATTGTTTGCACTGTATTAGCAGTATATACTCTATATAGAGTATATACTGCTAATACAGTGCAGACAATACATAATTGCTTAATAAATCGCTGGTCCAGTGGGAGGAGCTCTTTGTCAAAATGCCCTGTATCGGGCCCGATTCCGATGCTAGCATCGGTATCGGGACATCCCTACTATGAGGTAAGTATTTTTCACCATAGTTCTCTTTAGGGTAACAGGAGGACATATACTAGCGTCCTCCCGTGACCCAAAGCTCAGTATATCGCGAGCTACAGCTCGCGATATACTGAGACCGCCGCAGCCAGGACGGATCCCGACAATGCTGTCGAGGGTGATCCAGCTGTGTGAGTGACAGCTGGCTCTGCCTATCTAGAGGCAGAGCCAGCTGTGCTCGCCCCCTTCCCGTTCGTTCCTGCAGTCAGCGCTGGAGGATCGGAGCGGGGAGCGGTGACTGATAGTCACGGCTCTCTGCAGGGAGATGATCAAGAAGTGTGTTCACTTCCCGATCTATTGAGCCGACGTGTGATAGTATCATTATCATACGTCGGCTCGAACTATGAGGATGAGTGATTTTCACTCACCTCATAGTTCTCCTCTTTAAGGGTTTGTCCAGCGTAAACTAATATTTTCGTAATAGGTTTAGCCTAATGGTATGAATCAGCCCTTGGCTTCCTATGTCTTTGATACCATATTATATCTCCCGTACCATAATTCCCAGCCCTTGTTCTGTCCACCTGGTTGGTTTGGGTGTTCCTTTCTTGATCATACAAAATAAATGCAATTTAACAGGGACAGTGGGAAGGCAATATAATGACCACTATAGACAAGCACAGACATCACAGTAGCATTGCTCAGATAGTTGGTTTATCTGTCCATCATCTACTAAAAATAAAAAATAAATAGTTATCCTTTAGTGGAATAATTGAAAGGGTTGTGCCTAGGTAGGCGACATTGTTGGCTAACTTGTTTTCTCAATCTTTTTTCGAGGGACACAGCTCTGAAGAATTCTGAGATGTATGGTTATGCTGCTGCTTCCAGGAGAAATGGACCCGGGGGGGGGGCTGGGACCCTACCGTACCAAGTTACAACCTTAGCCCTCTGTTCTGTACGCCGCGGCGGACCCCACAAGTGCCACTCACGGACACCTTGCCGATCCCTGCCGGGGATTCTGATTTTTCATCCCGACGCCCCCCACATTCAGTTGCGCGACCTGATATGGGCTTACAACCTGGGAGTCTGTTTAAACAGCCCCGATGCTGGCGACGTACACTGTACGTCGTCAGTCACGAAGGGGTTAAGAAGCCCTGGTCTAAATTGATCGTCATTTTGACCCCAACAAATAATAGAAAATTGGGTGTAGATTCTTTAGTACTAAAGTTCTTTTGAAAATCTAAGCTGTGTGCGGCCAACTTGGGGCTCTTAGATCTTCTACTTGCAAGATTTATCACCGTTCATGAAAGGTTTATTTTCATTGGTGTGAGTCCTTGGGGTTTTTCCCCATGAGTTTTTTTTTTTTTTTCTTTTTTATTTTTTGAATTTTATATTTCCTTTAGCTTTGGGCAGTTCACATTTAGATCGAAACACCATAAAGGGTTCAATATCTGCCTCGTCAGTCCTTTTTCCAACAGTCTCTCGCTTCTAATTCCTTGATTCATACTTTTATTCAGGGAGTTCCACATGAGGCTCCTCCTGTTAGTTCTCTTCTTCCTCCATGGAATTTGAACTTTGTGTTATCTGTTATACAAAAGCCTCATTTTGAACCTATCCGAGTCATTTCTTTGTGATGCAGAAAGGTTGCCTTATGTCTATTACCTTGGCTAGCAGGGTTTCTGAGTTTTCTGCTTTTATTTTGAAGAGAACCTGATTTGCTTCTTCATAAGGACAAGGTTGATTTTTAAGAGCACGGGTTTCCTCTTTTCCCCAAGGTGGTTATGGCCTTTCTTTTATATGAAGACATTGTTTTACCTTCACTTTGCCTAGCTTTTGTTCATCCTAAGGAATGTTCTCTTCATTGTTTGGATGTTATGCGGGCTGTTAGAGTTTGTCAACCACAGCTCCATTTCATTTTCTTCATTCAGATTCTTTTTGTTCTATGTGAAGGTCCTAGAAAAGGTTGCTCAGCTTCTAGATGCAATATTTCTAAGTGGATTCCTGAGGTTGTGATTCAAGGTTATGAGTTATGGGACAAGATTCGTCCTTGTCCTGTTATCTGCACACTCTACTAGGGTTGTTAGTACTTGTTGGGCATTTCGGAGTCATGCTTCTGTTACTCAATTTGCAAGGCCGAAACCTGGTCTTCTGCTCCCAGTTTTGTTTTATAAAGTTGATATTTCTGCCTCTTCTGATCGTTTTGGCAGAAAAGTTCTTCAGGCAGCTGTTTGAATATTTGAGCTGGCTCTTGTTTTGATGGTGCCCGCTTCTCTGTGTTGAACTGCTATTGAACATCCCTACATCTCAGAATTCTTCATAGCAGTGTCCCTCAATGGACGATAGAAAAAATAGGTTTTTGTTTCTTACCGTAAAATCCTTTTCTGGGAGTCCATTGAGGCACACAACTCCCTCCCCTCATTTCCTTTCATACTGCTTGCTACAATTGTGGCAGGTGTGAGGTGGGAGGGCTTATGTGCTTAAAGCTTTTAATATTTTATTTTTTTGCCTAGTTTCCATTTCTCCTGGAGGCAGCAGCATAACCCAACATCTCAGAATTCTTCGGTGCTGTGTCTCTCAATGGTCTCTGAGATTTTATAGTAAGAACAGTTCTGGATCTCAGTGCTTTCTGTGAACCAAATAAGTGTACATCTACCCGGCCCATGTTTTAGATGGTTTGCTACTTTGCAGTGGGAGAGATAGTTGTTGCTCTTGGGTATTGCAGAAAAGCATAATTGGTAAGAAAATGCATACTTTCAGCTATTATTAATCACATGAGGGTTATGGGAGTCTGTGATCCTGTTTGGTTTTTTTTGTTTTTTTTATTCCATTTTATGTCCATTTAAATTTGAAGTTGAATATTTTTGACTTGGGTACATATTGTAGGATCAGTTGGTTCTGTTTCCTAGTAATGGTTGTATTTGCAGGCACGAGCTTTTGGAAGATGCACGGAGGCAGGGCTTGCCATTTGCACAATGGGATGGCCCAACCGTAGTTGTTTGGTTGGAGGTAAGTTATGTCCTTACTATGAACTTTTCAGCAGACCTTATCAGAGAACAGATTGTAACCTCCTTTCCATCATTGACTCATTTCAGCTCTGGGTCGGTATGCCTGCCTGGTACGTGGCTGCCTGTCGGGCCAATGTGAAAAGTGGGGCTATAATGTCTGCTCTGTCAGACACCGAAATCCAGAGAGAGATCGGTATCAGTAATCCACTTCACAGGCTGAAGCTGAGACTAGCCATCCAAGAGATTATGTCCTTAACCAGTCCATCAGCTCCTCCCACCTCGAGAACGGTATGTATCTGATCAACTGTGTCATTACCAGAAGTCAGTGTTTATTAAAGAAAAGGACCCTCTTGTCTAACAAAAAAGCAGGATGTTTTAAAATGAGTTGCTGCTTTCACCAACTACACTAAATTAGAACTTTTACCTACTTTCTTTGTGGTGAGAGAATATGTAATCTGCAGTCCAGATCTCAAAGGCCTAAAACATGTGTCTGGGTTTATCCTTACTTTGCATCTTACTGGCTAACAGTACAGTTTACACAGAGCATAATATGGACGCCTCCTGGCAAAATCCCACCCGTCCTCCCTCTCCACAGAGCATACTTACCATAATATCACCACCATATCATCTTCCATACTTTGCTGCCCAGCAGCAAAATCTTTTTAGCACCAGCTACACATGCGTGCTCACTCTCCAAAGACTTCTATAGGCCCATCAACTGATACAGGAGCTGGATTGTTTAGAAACCTATAAAAGTCTAAGGGTAGCACGGGCTAGGATTTTGGCTACTGGGATGTGAAGGACTGAAAGGGCTGTGAGTGTGATATTAAGATAGTATGAAGGGGGAACTGGGGTGGTGGGATTTTGCCAGGGGGACTGGATAGAAAGGTAGACGTACCATTATCCTTTAATTTCCTCTTTGTAAGAGGCAAGGAGACCTGGTAATGGTTTTTGTATCAACTTGGCTCAATATATGTAGGTCTTTGTGAGGTCTGGACTGCTCACTAGCCAGTAACAGTGGAAAGCTCTGTTTCCTGGAATATATGTTAGTCATGATCTAGAGTGTCTAGTCTAGTGTCTAGAGCGCAAATGAGCCCCACACAGTGGTGTCCTATTCATTTTTAGTGGTGAATAGAACAATTTTGTGACTCTTGATCCCAAAATTGGCATTCATCATCCTTTTTACATTGGTTTTTATTTAAAGAAAACCAGTCTTGGATGTGCTTATGCAGGAATAATAATATTCAGCCATCATAAACTACAATAGTTATTCAGTCTTAAAGCTCTTCATTTGACCCCTTTTACTTTCAATGTTTGAACCCTACACTCCAAAACAAGCACTCAGGGCGGTAGTGCAGATTCATTTGCCTTGTTCCAGGTCCAGACACACAGATGGTGAAGCCTAGATCAGCCAAACCAAATTGTAGTCAGTTATGACCCAGGGCTTGTTAACACCATGTTCGGACCAGAACAGTTTTTGTCTGCACCTGAAATGCATCCCAATGTATTCATATGGTGTTACTGGGCTCTGTTCATTCCAGTGCAGTCCGATCTGGTGCGGTGGAAAAAATGCTGTATGCACTATTTTTTCTTCTGGTCTAGATTGCACCAAAACACATGTAAATGCATCAAAAATGCATGCTAACGCACTGGACTGCACTTGAAAGCCCATTTTAGGCTAAAACAAAAAACAAAAACCCTGCACTGCATTTGCAGATTTGCTCCAGACATAGGGTGACCAAGCCCTAAGGCCATGTAGACAGAAGTGTGCCAACAGTTGTATAGTGTGCACAGAATGTCTTTTTTTCGATAAAGAATTTTAGTAGGAGATGAATGGGTGTCGGTTATTGCATCTATTTGGAGAAGGATTGTCTCCCTGCACCAATAATGGGGTGTGGGGCATTAGTAGAGGTTTGAGCTGAGCAGATTTAGTTTTTTTGGAATTGGAGCCTTCACCTTTTCAAACCAATTCAGCAATGGCATCTTCCAAATGTAGACTACAGGACATTTAAGGTGAAGTGTCAGGCTCAGACAGATCAAGTATAGCTAAATAAAGGTTAAACACGGCTTTCATAGATAATACGGAGCAAATGTTGATAATGTTATCCTGTATAAGCCCAGTCAGGACTGGTTCTCTTTAAGTAACGTAGTCATTGCTGTGTAGAGCTGTAGGACTATGAACTTATGTTGTAGATCTGTGACAAAAAAGAAAAGTGGGCGATTTGGTTTCTATATCCTCATTAGTCTGATCAACATTTTCACAAAAGTGAACCTGTCGGGTACATCAGTGTGTCTAAACTGACAGCACTGCCAAAGCACAGGTCCATTTTCTCCTCCTCATACTGATTTCTGTGCACCCAAGGGGGACCCTGGGCACTCTACTGATTACCTTGGCCCGACACCCTTCCACACCAAAAATTCACACCTGCTTTTTAATAGTCCAGTGCTAGGGCCTTGGTGACCAATAAAAGCTCTGCTTCAGACACAGAGATGTTCGGCATGTCTGGTGTCTAAACAAATATTACGTCTGCTCAGGTTTATGACGTGTCCTGATCGCTGTACTGTCCTTAAAAATGTATACCGCTCTTCCGGCTATGAGAGATGAGGGCCTCATACACAAACACTAGTGTCGTAGATCTGCCCCTGCTCTCCCCTTGGCCATTCACGTGAAACCCAGCATTCTGTGAATCCCTAGTAAAGAAATGTATAGATATTAGATTTAATTATTTAGCAGTAATTACAACTATCTCTGTGCCTGAAGTTCTGCTTTGACATATTTAAACATACCGATATGTCTGACATGTTTTCTTTAAAGTTTATTCCAAAGAAGTTTAGGAGTGAGGCTGGGTTAGTACCAGTTTTGTCCCCATTAGAAAGATTTGACCTTGCTTGGTGACCATTGTTGGGGGTAAATCTAAAATCTTATAGTTGTAACTATACTAAAGAGTAAGGAAGCTTCATATATATATGTACAATGATGGAAATCCACTAATAGAATGACATTAATGTGTTAAAGTTTACATGAGATTCTATTGATTGAGCTTAGATCTACTATAATAACCTGTTTTGGATGTGGTTTTACTTGGAAATTTCCACTTTTGCAGCCAAGTTGGGATAATGTCTATTTTATGTTTGTTCTATAATCCCATTCACATATCTTTGCTTAAAATTATTAAATAAATAGAAATTGCTGCTTACCCTTTTACGTGTTTTTCACTTCCTTAAAGAGGAACTTCACCAGTCTCTTTTAAATAACAACAAATACACCTTTAGAAATGTTTAGTAATAACAATACACCTACTTCTAGATAATTGCCGGCTTTGTATTCTTTGCATATCTTATTCTCTTCTTCCCCAGTGACCATTTTTACTAAGGGCAGATTAATCCATCTCCTTTACTTCCTGGAACTCTGGCACATGTGACCATGCACATCATCTCGGGGGAGGAATATGCCTTTCCCTGAGATCGCTTTGCATCCTGGGAAGGTTACATCACTTTAGCCCACAAGGACGTGGAAAAACAATGTTTGTTTAACCCCTTCGTGACGGGAGACTTACACTGTACGTCCCGGCACTTTGTGCCTATATGACTGGCCAAGTACACTGTACGTGACAAGTTATATTAGGCTCTGTAATGCCGGTAACTGCTGATTCTCAGCGGTTACCAGTCATTAATAAAAAAAATGCCTCAGTATTGAGGCATTCATTGATGAAATAGTTAAGCTTTTGTAAAAGCTTATTTCTTTCATTAATGAAAGAATGAAGCCGTTACATGCAAATACGGGAGAGCTAAGTAGCGCTCCGGTATTTGACAGCTGAAAATAGCAGAGAGGCAGCAGAGTGACTCACCTCCCTGCTATTTGTTTTGACGGCTCCATAGACTGGCCTGATGTTAATGAAGCTATGTGATACATCTCAAGCAAAGTTTTTTCCCTAATTTTTTATATTTGATTCAAACTAAGTGAGGCGTGTTAGGTACCTGTTTGATATAATTTATATAGCCCCATCTGTCCTCTAAAAAAACAATATATAATATGTGTGGGTACATTTTAGTAAGAAAGTATATTACTGCTGTGGAAGAATCACACAGCAAAAATGTAAAAAGCGTGTCAGTCATTTATAAACAGAAACTGAAAACTAGCTCAGTCATGAAGGGGCTAATGAATCGAAGACTATTTCATATCAGCATGCAGAGCTGCATGCTGGGGTTATTTTTAGTGAAAGGGGGTAAAGGTCTGCTTTAAAATTCTATCTAGCTCCCCCCCTATATATTAAGCAGGGGAGGGGGTGGAGTTAATGTTCACCATAATTGCCTGTCATGTTCTGTGCTGGGAGTTTTTATTATCCATTTTAAAACAGATTTGAACAAAATCTATTGGTAGGGTTAAAGAGCTACAAGCATTGCTTGTTAATAAGAGGATGTTCATTGTGTCCCTAGTCTTTCTACGGGGACAGCTAGAGTTTCCTGTCATTTGGAATTTGTAGAGAGAAGCTTGCAGTCAGCCCAAAGGCCTGCTCATCAGAGATCTTCCCATCATTAACCCTGTCCCATCCATGCTAAACAGTGTGGATGGGGGAATCTCCTGCTGCCGCTATAGTTTCTTGACAGTCGGACCCACCAGTTGTCAAAATACCTGAGCAGTGTCTGCATTTGATTGAATACAGGCAATGTTTTGGCTGACAATTCCCCCCGACCCTTTCATTTTTCAACCGAAGGATGCAAGGCAGCAGCTGGCCTATAGGGCCATCCCAATTGGCAAACTTTGACCGGTTCATCAAGAATCGGCTGATATTCGTTCAGTGTATAGCCAGCTTTAGGGTAGTTTTTCTTTGGAGACAGGTTCCCTTTCAAATTGTGCAGAACAGCTTGCATCCTGTACAAAGGCCTGCTCCAAGAAAGCATTTAAAAAGGAAGAAATGTGTTTTTAAATACTGCTTTAGGTATGCTGTGTGAATGGGAACACACAATAAACATGGATTTGCGCTTTTCTTAAATTTGACTGCAAAAGTGGAAATACACTCGAAAGGAGCTCACATTCACTTGTATGTTTTTTTAATATGTTGTGAAAAGACTTTAGTTTCACTAGTTTCACATTTAAAGATTTGTAAAATTTGTTCTGTAAGCCTCAGAACAAACAAAACTTTCACAGTAAGTCCCGTTACGTCTGCATTTCTGACCCGTTTTTCATTTTGGCATTAGGGGGTGTTCATGCTACCAGCCATTTTCCTATGTAGACTTCAGTCTGGTTAAACCTAATTGCCGTAGACTCTTAGCATTTTGCTCTCTCCTGCTCCACTGTGTACCTTTTGCTTATTTGTTGTGCCACCTTCCCTCTCTGTTACTGCTTCTCTCTCACTGGATGTGCTTGTAAATAGTCCACGGGAAATGTCTGGGTTACTCATGAAGAGATGGAAACCCTCACAGCCTCTCCACAAACGGTTAGTTTACAGCAGCACCGCCTGTGTTGTGTAGCATCTGCTGCGGGTGCTTCTTGCCACCTTTTCTTTGTAGATTTACTTTGAGTGTACTTGTAGACGCTCAATTCTTGTTTGATAGTTTAGATTTTTTTTTATGTTTGTTTTCAATAATCTCTTCAGCGTTGGCCAAACTGGTGTTTCAATGACGTTTGTTCAACTCTTAAGAGGTTAACCTGAGAAATGAATAGAAACCAGAGAACCTCTGAGTCAATGGGCAGACTAATAGACTAAAGTCCTCTCATCGCCACCAAGATTACTAGAATGTCTTCTCTTTCAGTTCAGAAGCTTTAGGAGAAGGTTAAAGTTTTAGTATTCAGCGGCTGCTTACTTTTTAAGGCTGCTCGGTAAGATCCATTGGCCTCATGGTTGGAATTTTCTTCTACTTCCGTTGGAGGATGCATAGGGTTGGAGCTCAACAAGTGTTCATTCTGAAGATAAACATTACTTGGGGCACAGGCCTTGAATGTGCAGCCATAGAAAGAACCTTTCACTTAAAGGGTTATTCACAAAGCTGCCAAAGGCAGCCAAGTGATTAACCCACCCCAAGTGAAGTGAGCCGAACGCTGTTCAGCTATTCAAGTTAGGCTTGTACAGCTGTACATCGGCTGAAATCAGCTGTACATCGGCTGAAATCAGCTGTACATCGGCTGAAATCAGCTGTACATCGGCTGAAATCAGCTGTACATCGGCTGGCTTCGGTTCAGCCAGACATGCTCGGCATGTTTGGCTGAGCCGAAGTGCAGAAGGAGTTCGACTCAGCAGATCCAACATCTGGATCGGCTGAGCCGAACCTCCGGCAGGCTACTCGCTGCCGTTCGCCCCTATTCTCATAGGGGCCGAACGGCAGTGAGTGAATAGCCGAATGCCGCCGCGCAGCATTCTGCTCGGCTATTCTGCTTGAAAATCAGTTTTTTTAAAAAGCTGAAAAGAGGTTATAAATGATAAATCTAAAAAAATAAAGATTTCTTTAAAAAAGAGAAAAACAAATTGAAGGGAAAAAATACAATTTTGCAGAGCTAGCAGTGACTGCTAGCTCCGCCCAACTGTTTCCTATTGGCCGGGGGCTTGCTAGAGTCTTCCAGCAGGTCCCGGCCAATGAATAACAACTGAGAGGAGCCCGCCGTGACGTCACAGCCGGCTCTGCCTAGTTGTCATTGTTTAAGCTGTCAGTTGATGTCAGTTCTACTGAACCGAAGCTAGCCGAAGGATCAGCCAGAGCTACAGCTGATCCTTCGGCTAGCTTTGTGACTAACCCTCTTAGTTTGTGCTGTAACACATAGGTGACATCTCCGTGCTGGCATGCCTTTGCATTAAAGCAAACGATCTACTATTTTAAACTTTTAAAAGTGAAAATCCTTCTGCAGGGTGTCTCTGATTACTTTTAACAGCTAGAAGAGCGCCGTACACCTCTGCTCCTATTTTTAGCTTTTCATGTCCTAGGTCAATAATCAGTTATAAAAAAAGCCTTCCCACATTAACTGGAAATAGAAGACTTGCACAATTTGGATATAAGTGAATTATAGAATCAAATTTGTGGCTGTGAGCCCCTGTTATAAACCTCGAGGTTCCTGATGTTTCTATGTGTTTCCACATTGCATGTGCACTGGTGGTTTGGGGGACGGGGTTGTGTGTTGCATGGAGTGACCACTTTATTCCCATTAACCCTGCTGACTAATGTTTTGTGTTCTTTTGCTTTCCTAACCCACCTAACACCAGGAAGATGAGGAGGGAAGCTGGGCTCAGGTTTGAGCGTTTTTTCACTAATGCACCTTTTCAGTTTCAAGCACTTTTTTAGCGCACAGAAATCGGCTTGTCACATATTCCAGCTCTTTTAGGCTAGCTCTTACACTATCTTCTCAGGTTTTCAAGGAGGTTATGGCAGTTTTTTTTTTTTTATTTTGTTTCCCCCACCGAAAACAAGATGCTACTTAGGTTGTATTCTGAAACAAGTGCAAGTATCCCTTGAAAACCATTTCCAATAGTGTTAACTGGATGTTAGTTGTCGGCTACCAAATAGGAGGAAACTGTTCTGTGTTTTGCTCAATTAAATCAGCTGTCAAGAGTCGTGTTCATTAAAAGACAGCTTTCCTGTAAATGAAAATGGACAGCTGAGCTGAAAATTTGATTAACTTAGTACTTAAAGGACCACTATCATGAAGAGTATTATATTCTGATAAATGTATGGGGTTAATGCACTTAATGATAGCATGCCATATGTTCCTTTTTTTTTTTTTTTTTTTTTTTTTTTTCTTCAATTCCAGCAGTCTATTTTTGGTTTGTCAGGGGTAGCCAAACCTTGGCCCTCCAGCTGTTGTGGAACTGCAAGACTCATAAGGCATTGCAAGACTCTGACAGCCAGAGCTAGGTGGAGGGTGGCAGGAAAAGACCAAATTATATTGAAGTGACACTAAACGCAGGAGGTAAGTCTTAAAAATGCATTCACGTACCTTAAATATTAACAAAAATGTATCTTATTTGTGTATCACTCCGGCTGTAGATCCTCAAATCAGCTCTGAATTGGTGCTGACACTGTCCTTCCTTCTGGAGGGGGCCTACTTTTGTTCTCCATGGTCCCTGTGTGTGTTGTAAAGTAGTCACCACTCCAAGCTCGCTCCTGTGATGGACTACAATCTCATGTTTTAGTTTACTAATGTGTATTGAGATTGTAGTCCATCACAGGAGCGAGCTTGGAGTGGTGACTACTTTACAACACACACACGGACCATGGGGAAAAAAAGTAGCCACCCTGCAGAAGAAAGGACAGTGTCAGCACCAATTCAGAGATGATTTGAGGATCTACAGCCGAGTGATACACAAATATACATTGTTGTTATTTGTTAAGGTACATGAATGCATTTTTAATATGTATTTCCTAAGTTTAGTGTCAATTTAGTCACACATACGCTTCTGATCTGGCTGACATGTTAACTTCAGCCTAGTTGATGCCGATAATACATGGGGCATTGAGGGGAACCAGTAACTGTGCAATACATATAGCAGCACAGGCATCCAGTTCTCTGCACAGGAGATGTGGAGAGGAACTCAATTTGGGGATATTAGAGTAATGCTGCAACTAATATTTGAGAATGGGATAAATATTAATAAATACGGATAAACAGGATAGCTAATTAAATAATACAAATTATGTAATTCAACCATGTTAAAATTATTATTTTTTTCCCCTGAGTTGGGCTTTAAATAGATTCATCCCTTAAGGTGCCAATACACTGCTCGATTCTCGTACGAGAATCGGGGGAAATCCCGTGATCGTACGAGAATCGAGCAGTGTGAACTAAGACGTGCGACCGTTTCTACTGTACGGTCGCACGTCTTTTGTCGAGCCAACATGTTCGAAAACCCGCCGAGAATCGTACGATTCTCGGCAGGTTTCTAGCCTGCTCGCCCGATAGCTGCGTAACGGGCCGGTGTGTGCGCACGCGCACACTGCCCGTTCTGCATTGCCGTCATCGGAAGCCCGCCCCTCAGCGGGGCGGGCTTTCGATGATCGCAAGTACGATCTGCCCGTCCGAGGTGGGCAGATCGTACGGGCTTTCAAGAAGCATACGACCATCGCAAGACAAAAGTCTTGCGATGGTCGTAAGGTGTATGGGCACCTTTAGTCGTAAAAGGTGGTTATTGTAAGCATCCCTGACAGTGTAATATTTTGCTTCAGCTGTTTCTCTTGCTGGACAGCTTGGTCTGCATGTAAATTTGGAGGAAAATAAATTATGATCAAAGCAATGTCTCTGGTCAGAAGTGTCAGAGTTGCCGATGTACTTACGTTGGCTCTCAACTGACCTTTTAGGGCCTCAAATAGTTGGTGTCCTAACAGATCACGCGCAGCACTATGGCAACTGCAAATTTAAACCAAGGCCAAGATGGCGCCATCCTTGGCAGTAAGGGGTAAAAGGGTTTCGTTTTGTTTTAACACCACACAGTTATCAGAATACAACTTTGCAAATTTAAAGGACAGTAATCACAAGCAAGAAATTACTGTCTTTTCAGCCCTTTCATGAAATGCATTCTGAGGCGCACTATTTCAGTGATTAGTAGTGCAAAAGTTGTAATTTTAATACAACCTGCGTCCTCAGGTTCATTGCAGCTACTGAAAGAATTAGTGTGTATACAGGAGCAGTATAGCCAGGAATGCTTTCTTTGCCTTTCTTGTTAATTTCTCTTAGCTTTTGATAAGACAAGTACACATGCATAGCTGGAAATATTAAAGCGACTGTCGCTACAAACATTTGGCAAAAGAAGACTATCAACTCTGGTGACTATTGTCTCCTACCTTCCCTTTATTCCAGAGCTGTAGCCCTTCATCAAAATCTTCAATGTTTGATCATTCTGAAAGTGTAGGAATTCTGTGTCCCCTATGGAGCCCTTTTGGTTCCTTCCACCAACCCCTGTGTCACTAGAGGGGACAGCATTGACAACAGTGTCAGAGGATGGAACCACTGTGCACAGCGGGGTCACAGGCATCCCATGCTCCCAGAAGAGTCAATGTCTGAACTTTCTAACAAACAGTTGCAAAGCTGGAATGGAACAAAGTAGGAGACGCAAACCACCAGAGGTGAGGTATACTTGTCTTCTTTTGCAGAGAACTGCTTTTGTCTAATGTTTGGGATGGCGACAGTCACTTTAAGGGCTTGTGTTTCTAGAGAGGAGAAAAACTGGTACCATTCCATATGATGGATGTGAATACATCTAATAGATCACGTCTACAGTTTGCTGCTCTTACAAGGCACATATAATAAAGGGGAATTTGGGGTAGATGAGTGTTCTTATGTTTTGTAACCAGTCTCCTAAAGACTTTGCTCTTATTTTAGACCCTCGCATATGGCGACATGAATCATGAGTGGATTGGTAACGAGTGGCTGCCTAGCTTGGGCCTGCCTCAGTACCGAAGTTATTTTATGGAGTGCCTTGTTGATGCTAGGATGCTGGACCATTTGACGAAGAAGGACCTCCGCGGACAGCTGAAAATGGTGGACAGTTTTCACAGGTAAGATCCCCGTGGCAGGTTACCTTGTGATCTGTACAATGAAGGTCTGGGAAAAGTCAGGGAAGAATGGAGTAAAATTCCCCCAATTCTTTCTCCAATCAGGAACAGCTTCCAGTGCGGCATTATGTGTTTGCGGAGGTTGAACTATGACCGGATAGAACTAGAGAGGAAAAGAGAAGAAAGTCAAAACGAGATCAAAGGTATTAAGGAAGAGATATTACTGCGTGTTTATTGATTCATTGTATGTAGTATGTCGGACTTGATATTTGTTAACCTAATTACATGGAAATGGTGCATTTTTGACTAACACAAAATGGGGGCAGTCATAAGGTTATTAATACACAAGCAGCAGGCAATATCACTGGAGTGCAGCGTGCTGATTCCCAGGAACAACCAGTCTTAAAGCAGAACTCCGGGAAAAATATTAAGGACAAGGGTTAACTGCTTGTTTTGGTCTAGGGAGGAAATAACAAAGTTATACTCGCGTGGTCCTAAGAGCCAGTTTGTTGTTAGACCGCTCCTTCCAGCATCCCCCCACCGCTACAGCCTGCTATATGATGACTGCACAGAGCTGCGCCGCAGCCGGTACGGATCCCGACAATACTGTCAAGATCCACCCCACTGGCTGACAGCTAGCTCTCCCTATCTTGCTGTCTCTGTCCACTCCCCGTCCATTCCTCCTTGACAGGGAGTGGATCAGGAAGTCAGCAATCGGCGGTATGTGTTCGCTGACTTCCCAATCAATAGAGCCGACCTGTGACAGTTTCAGTGTCACAGGTCGGCTTGAATTATGGGGATGAGTGTTTCTCACTCCTCATAATTCTCCTTTTTAATGACCATGCATTGCACATTTTCAGCAAAGAAAGAAAAGAACCCCCCACCCAAAAACAAAAAATTGCCACACTGCTAATGAATACAATTGAATCTTTGTTATCCAAGAGCAGGTAGACAATATACATAGGATCCTTAACACTCCCTCAACAAATCTTCCCCATGTGCCAAAATAACTGTTGTATTATAAGACAAATGTATACTTATCCAAGTAAAGAAATCCATGATTAAATTTGATAACACACTTTACAACATGGGTCTTCAATGAAACTGTACAGTGTGTGCGTGCGTACCTTGACATTAAGCATATACAGCATAAATAACAGCTTGGCTAGGAGCTTTAAACTAAACATATAAGGAGAGATGTCTACTTATGATCAAACGTCAATGGTTTTATTACAGGTATTTTATATGGCGCCGACAATTTACACAGTGCTCTACATAGTGCACATTCACATCAGTCCCTGACTGAAAGGAGCTTACAATCTAAAGTCCCTATCATGCAAGAACCAATTAGCCTTCTAGTATGTCTTAGGAGTGTGGGAGGAAATCGGAGTACCCATCGGAGCGGAAACCCACGCAAGCACAGGGAGAACATGCAAACTCCTTGCAGAAAGTGATCTGGCCGGGATTCGAACCAGGGACCCCCCCCCAGTGCTACAAGGCAGAAGCGCTAACCACTACACCACTGTGGTTCCCGGTTTTGGATACTAAATAAGTGACTGGAGCAAACTTAATGATTAGGTTTCCGAGAAAACATTGGTAAACACCAACTGTGTACATCATGTTATTTCCTGTATCAGTACTCCCTGATGGCGGCGGCACTGGGGGGCAAAAATGAGTTGGCTTTCTATCAAATGATGCAGTGATTAATAGAAAAACATCGAGACATAATAAATCTGTCTGGCACTCTCCTCCTTACATCTTTTAGTTACTCTTACTATCCAGTCAGCGAGGTGTATCCCTATAACAGCCTTAAAATTTTACAGAAAAAAGTTTATCCGCTTGACTATGCTGTGTGACAGGGCTGTGTAAATCTCAAGACTGTATTGGCAAATATACAAACCCTTTGCTAGGTAACACAGCTCCCTTATGTGTATTTAGCTATCTGCCTGCTCACAACCAATTCCTCAGTCTGATGTCTGTAAGGAGGCCTTCCTTACCAGTCCAATGATCTTCACTGTGTGGCTTCAACCAATGCTGCATAGTCTTTCCTCTGAAAACTCAGTTGCAGCCCTGATATAAGCATTGGGTGGTCTCTCAGGAGCAGCTCTGCAAATACCAAATGCCCTGATGGATGGATGGATGGATGTCAGTCTGAGTGAGCATGTGTTCCTTGGCAGGCTGCATTTGCATGCTGACTGCACACATGTGATCATGAGCTGCCATAACTTAAAGGGTAATTCCACTTTCCCAGGTAAATTTGGGAAAATGAAACTACATATGTTTATATCACACATACATTCTATTGTGTGGTAGGTATTGTATTAGATCACAAATACTGCAAGCTATTTTCCATTTTATTTTTCTTGTGGTTGCCTTTTCTTGTGCAGTTATTTTTAATAATGAACTTGCTATCTGTGTCTTTCCAGATGTAATTGTCTGGAGCAATGATAAGGTCATTAACTGGGTATTGTCCATTGGACTTAAAGAATATGCAAATAATCTTCTGGAAAGCGGTGTTCATGGTGCTCTGATTGCCTTAGATGAGACGTTTGATCATAACACGTTGGCTTTGCTGCTACAAATCCCCACTCAGAACACACAGGTAATTGGAGTCCGGGGGTGAGGTGTAAACTGTCTCTCTAAACAAAGAGGCCGATGTGCTGCAGCAGTTTCCCCAGGTCATTATATATATCCGATCTGTTTCAGGCACGTGCGTCGCTGGAGCGGGAATTCAATAATCTTCTTATAAGAGGAACTGATAGAAGATTTGATGATGTAAGCCTTTGATTTTTACGTTCTGCTTATGTTGAATATATAATAAAGTGAATTTGTAGTTTTTTTTGTTGTTGTTGTAGTTTAAGAAAATGTATGTAGATGCATTGAACAAGAACCTAAATATTTTCCTGTTGTAAGGAGCATAATTCATGCACAACGCCAGTTCCAACTTCCTTTCCCCCGCAGCAGGCCACAGAGAAGGACCACTGCCATCTGTGTGGAAGCAGTGGTCTCTCTGCAGCACTTTGACATGCAGATGGAATGTTTTGTATAGTTGTCTTATATACATGTCTTACTATAGACCTGTCTTTAAAGTGACACTTAACTCATGAGTTAAATCTTAAAAATATATTCAAGCACCCTAAATATTAACATAAATCTATCTTATTTGTGTATCATTCGGCTGTAGATCCTCAAATCATCTCTGAATTGGTGCGGACACTGTCCTTCCTTCTGGAGGGTGGCTACTTTTGTTCCCCATGGTCCCTGTGTGTGTTGTAAAGTAGTCACCGCTCCAAGCTCACTCCCTGTGATGGACTACAATCTCAATACAAATGAGTAAACTAAACGTGAGACTGTACTCCATTACGGGGAGTGAGCTTGGAGCGGTGACTACTTTACAACACACACAGGGACCATGGGGAACAAAAGTAGCCACCCTCCAGAAGGAAGGACAGTGTCCGCACCAATTCAGAGATGATTTGAGGATCTACAGCCGAGTGATACACAAATAAGATCCATTTCGGTTAATAGTTAAGGTACTTGTATGCATTTTTAAAATGTAACTCCTGAGTGAAGAACCACTCATAGACTCGGAAAACCATGCTTGGCCAAAGCTCAGGCCACAGACAAGGGTCAGCTCCCCACTGACGTACTCTTTGTCTCAGGATGATGATAAAAGCTTTAGACGGGCCCCATCGTGGCGAAAGAAATTCCGACCAAAGGATGTGCGAGGAATGAGCGCCGGCTCTGCAGAAACACTACCTGCCAACTTCAGAGTCAACTCTTCAATGTCTTCTCCTTCTATGCAGCCAAAGAAAATCCAGATGGATGGTAAGGCAGCCAGCTTCCTGTGTGCTATAATGCATGACATAAGCGTGTGCTATGCCAGTGCATGTGTTACTAGTAAAAAAAAAAAAGTTTTCCATAACATTACTATAACGTGTTTCCTAATAAGCGTGTTTTAACCTGTTGTTGGTTTTTTTTTTTGTTTTTTTTGTGGAACTGCAATATGATCAGAAATATAAAATGTAAATAATATTTTGAATTTTTTAGACGTGTGTATGAAGTTTAAGGTGACACTTAACTCCTTAAGAGTTAAATGTTAAAAATACTTTCCATAACCTTAACTTTTACCAAAAATGTAACTTATTTGTGTATCACTCGGCTGTAGATCCTCAAATCATCTCTGAATTGGTGCCGACACTGTCCTTCCTTCCGGAGGATGGCTACTTATGTTCCCCATGGTCCCTGTGTTGTAGTCACCGCTCCAAGCTCACTCCTGTGATGGACTACATTCTCAATACAAAACATGACATTGTAGTCCATCACGGAAGTGAGCTTGGAGCGGTTTAGCACCAAGCTATAGAGGGACATAATTCCCAATGGCCAGGCCCAGTACATCCATGAAGTTATAAATGACACTGACAGGGTTATTCACAAAAGGGTGAAGAGTTTGGAGAAGGCAGGAGAAGGAACAATCTAGGACAACAAAGATGAACTGGAAAGTGAGCTGAATTGGAGAATTTTTCCAAATCGGCTATTTTGTCCTAGATTGTTCCTTCTCCCGCCTTCTCCAAAGTCTTCACCCTTTTGTGAATAAGCCTGTAAGTGTATGAGAGGAAAGAAACTGCACCGAGCCCGGGCTGTGCAAATCTCAAATTCTGATCATCTGTTCTGTTATTACATAGACATTGAAGAGGGGTGGGGTTGCTGGATTTACAGATGAAGGTGTAATTATTCCTGGACAAGTTTGGGTGGAGATGAATCATTATGACAGAATATGCTGTTCACCCGGTACATCAAAGTATACAGTTGCTTACATTTTATTAGCATGTGCTATATTTGTTTTTACATCAATTTTCCTGATATTGTTGACTGCCCAAAAATTTTTTTTTAAGTAATGGATAGTGTAAGTGAAGTTTATAACCCCTGTCAGCTTTTTTTTTTGCCATCTGTGTCCCATTGGAGATATTTCCTTTCACTTCCTGTCCAATAGCCACAACAGGAAGGAAGAGGAAATCCCTGACAGGGTCACCAGAACTAGTGTGCCCTGTGGGATATTCCCCCTTTTCATTCCTGTTCTGATGACAACCTAAAATGTGTGATTTTTTTTTTTCTTTCATTTTATAGTGATAACAATCATAACAACAAAGGGAGGGCGAATTTCTCTACTGAAGACACAGTGATAAAAACCTGACATGGGTTGTAATCCCTCTTCACTCTGTCCAAAACTAAAAAGGTTTTGGTATCAGTGGCACTTTAAGGGCTAATTATTTACAAAGTAAAAAGCTTTTTTAGAGTAAAATACACAGCTGAAAGACCATGTAGGAAGTTTTACTTACAGGAGGATTTGTAACTCTATACAGCTATTATAGTGATTTACACAACTCTGCCACACTGCATAAGCAGCTGGGTGACGCCTCTATTCACTACTAAGCTTTTGGGGTCACCTTCCAGTTCACCAGGCAACAAATCAGCAGTCTTTTTGCTTGGATGTTCAAGAAACAAAAGCTGGCCATACATGGTAATATTTTCTTCGTTCAACCCGCGGACTGAATGAATTTAAATATTAGATTTCTCCAATGCTTATGAGCATTGATTGAGGAATCTCCCACTGTTTGAATTGTATTCTGACAGTGGCTGACATCCGCTGTCAGAATACCTGAACAGAACAGGCAGCTCATGGGCTGCCCGCTCTGTTCATTCGAAGATTTTCCGACCGGCTCCTTCAATCAGCTCATTGAGGTATGCCGGACGAAAGGGTGCTGACAGCGGCACCCACTGTGCGAATTTTAGCCGGTTCATCAAGAACCAGCCCACATTCGTAAAGTGTATGGCCGGCTCAATGCCATTGTTAAAGATAGAATTCCCCAATTAGATTTGATGACATAGGCCCCAAGAAAGCTATATCAGTATCTTTTCATCGTATAGCTATAGCCCAGTTGTTAGACATTCCCGGAGCAAGCAAGAGCAGCTACACGCTGTAATAAAGGAGTCTTTGCCTGTTTCATTATTAAATGATGACGTGCCAAGCTGACCTACATTTTATTAAAGTGTTCAGAATGTTCTCTTGGAAAGATGTGTCTGAATTAAAGTGCGATTGGACCTTGCATGTCCTGATGCAGTGAGCGTGTGTATTTGTGTGCAGCATAACACTAACTGCATGTCGTGTTCTGCATGTTTCTTTGTGATTATTAATAGGCAATGTGTCTGGAATACAAAGACTGGATTCAGCTACTATTAGGACATACTCCTGTTAACGTTGTCTCTTGGTAAGTTCTGCACTCCATATCATTCCAGAATGTTCGTGATGTTAACATATAAGGAGTTAGAAAAGTTGAATACCTTGTGTTCCATAAATTCACCCTCCTATTCTTTTTCTTTAAGAGACCCCAGAAACCATTTTAAACATTTATAGGTGCAAGTTCACAGGGTGCTTCGTATTACATTTGTTATCAGGAAAGCCGCTAGTATGCTCCTCTGAGCCGCCTGGTTTTACTAATTTACTAAGTGCTCAGCTATTCTGACTTTGGGGCTTTGTTCTTCCAGTGAAAGCCCCCATTTTGGCCACTGATTATTTTCTCAAGTGGGGCTTAACTTTCCTTAAAGGAGAACTATGGGTTAGGGCTTTTCCCCATAGTTCTCTGAAGGGTAACGGGAGGACACAAACTAGCGTCCTCCCGTTACCCAAAGCTCAGTATACCGCGAGCTGTAGCTTAGCCTTTAATAACCAAGTGCACTCATTGTAGATTGTCAGAGGGGTTGCAATCTTCTATTCATTTGTAAGAGGGGCAACAGATCAATTCTAAGATTGCCGCTCTGATTTTTGTGGGATTTGCACAGCTGCTGGGTTTCCTCTGGACATTCTAATTCATTTAGTAAGGGAGAAATGATAGTTCTTGAAATATGTCAAGCCAAAAACCTTGTTTTCGTGTGTGGGGAAGGATTAGAATGCCTGTTGGGTTTTTACTGCTATTGGTGGCACCTTTAAAAAGAGAAGGGCGAGGGAAAATCTGCAACAGAGACACAGACCGAAATAAACATCCTAACCATAGAAATAGCGCATTAAAAGGTTTATCCAGTCCCGCACCATGTGATTATCTAAAAATAAGTCTCTCTCTCTCTCTCTCTCTCTCCCTCCCTCCCATATAGATATATATATATACATATATATATATATATATATATCACATGTCTTAAAAGAACAGAATCACCTAGACAGATCAGTTGCTTGATGTGAATATTTTCTGCTTTAGATCTCCCGGGATTCCCTCATGCTTTTTGCTCTCCATAATGAATGGCACATATAGGCAAAATCATGAGGTTTTTATGAAGATATATACATATGACATTTACATATAGAAGTTTCCATGTTGGTGAGCTAAACAGGACTGGACAGAGAGCTGCTGACAGCATGGCTCTAATACAGCTGCCTGTCCTACCCCATCCACCGCCAAGCCCCCCCTATTTCCTCAGGCGGCATATAGGGTAGGCCCTGTCTGTATCTATATGTAGGCATGTGGTACATCTCCCCAAGGAAGATTCATCTGGGTTCAATGTAAATAATATATTCAATGTTATGAATGGTCTCTTCCACGTAAAGCTTATGCACACCTATGCATGTTTTTTAATACATAAAGTATATGAAGTGTATCAAAGTAAAGTAAAAGATTGCAATTCCTCTCAGATTATTAATATATTGGAGGCACAAGTCGACACAATGGTGTCTCCAGCATTATATTCCCCAGTGCAGACAATTTATTGCTCCAAGTGGAATAACGAATAAATATATTCAATTTCAGATTATTTTTTTTAAATATATTAAACTATTTTTGATGTGGGATTATCATTTTATATGGATTAGATATAGGGGGGGGTAGTATGATATTTTGTGTTTGTCAGAATTATATCTAGACATGTAATGGGGATCATATGTGTTTAATACAATTATATAAATACAAATATTTTTGGAATTTGCTGGATAAACCCTTTAAAGCACTATTCCTCGTATAATTATTTAGGAGTAGGTACCGGTCTCCACTGGAAAAGGTTCATTTCTTTTGTTGTTAGGCTTACCATATCACTAGTTCCAAATAATATAAACTATAATCCAAATAAATAAATGCCTGCCAGGAGTTCTATCCTTCCCCTACTTTAGTAAAAGGAAGCATTCTTATTTTTGTCTGTGTTGCGGTTTCAGATTTCCCCTTATTTCCTGTCTGGTAAAACATCATCATAGGAAGTGAGGGTAAAAAACAGAGCCCCCGCATAGTAGTAAAATCCTGAGGGGGGTTCTAATCCTTCCCCACACTATCAAGAATAACATTTTTGGCCGCACATGAAAATCGCCTTTTAAATGTATTTTCCTAAATGTACTAATGTATTTTCTTCCTCCTTGCAGTTTACCCACATTACTTCTACAGATGAGTATGCAACCCGTGAATTCATCTTGATTCTACATTTCCAGACCTGGCCCGGCTTCCCTGTACGAATCGCGCTGTTCAGACACTTTGAGATATTTTAATACAGAGTTTTTAAATATCAAGTAAAAAAAATTATAGATAGGACAGATATTTTAGAATTTTACCGGTTGTTCTTTCAGTTCACCTCCTGTGAGAAAGAGAAGAAGAAAAAGATAACTTTTATGTAGCGAATTTTCCATGTGCGTTCAGTCCTTTGGATCCTCATCCATCTTAACGTTTGTGGTTTTATTATTATTTTAGCCCTTCCCTTTTCAATGTACTGTAACTCCAGTTCGGTCCCTGCCGGTCACCAGGGGGGCTTTGTAAATGATTCTAGCATTGTAATTTATGGGTATGTTTCATAACGAAGCTGGCTGGAAAAAAAAAAACGATTTGTATTTTTAATTGTATTTGTACAGTCTTAGAACATCAAATGGTGTATTTTGTCAGTTGTATTACCTGGTATGTTGCAGGTCTTCCCACCCTTGCACAATCCTTAGAATACATTTACCAAGTCAATATGACGGTAACGCTCCATGAAAGAGCAGCTCCACCTTCTCTGTTATGGATGGAGAGTAATAGCGGTTTTCAGTCCCTGCTGTGACAGGCTGAGCTCCGCTTTACACCCAACTTACTGTTGTCAGCCAGAGTCGATGTTTCTTGATTTTGTATGGAGAATCCACTACAGGGCTAGAGATATTGCATTTCTCTGTATGCATGTCCCTTGTAGATTCTCCATAGGTATCTGTATAGATAGGTTAAGAAGACCGATGACAATCCTGGTTCCACCATAAAACCAAACTGGGGAGGGAGGAGGGTGATGTCATCAGGATCTAAGATGGGACCATGGGGTCAGGCCTTGTCCCGGTTCACCCAAAACTGAGAAATCCCTATAAGATGGGGTTGCCCCTAATATTTTTTTTAAACCTGGTCAAACTTGGAAGTTAAAGTGACTCTAAACTCAGGAGTTAAATCTTAAAAATGAATATCAAGTACTCGCGCATATAAAAATGCATTCAAGTACCTTAACTATTAACAAAATGTATCTTATTTGTGTGTCACTCGGCTGTAGATCCTCAAATCATCTCTGAATTGGTGCTGACACTGTCCTTCCTTCTGGAGGGGGGCTACTTTTGTTCCCCATGGTCCCTGTGTGTGTTGTAAAGTAGCCCCCGCTCCAAGCTCACTCCTATGATAGACTACAATCCCAATACAAATTAGATTGAAGTCCTTCATGGGAGCAAGCTTAGAGGGGTGGCTACCTTACAACACACACAGGGACCATGGGGAACAAATGTAGCCCTCCTCCAGAAGGAAGGACCGTGTCAGCACCAATTCAGAGATGATTTGAGGATCTACAGCCGAGTGATGCACAAATAAGATACATTTGTATTAATAGTTAAGGTACTTCAATGTATTTTTAAGATTTAACTCCTGAGTTTAGTGTCACTTTAAGTAGACCGATGACTATCCTGTTTCCGCCATAATACCAAACTGGGGAGGGACTAGAGTGTTGTCATCAGGACCTCAGACGGCAGTAAAGATAGGTAAAGTCCCCGTTCACCCCAAACTAAGAAATCCCTTTTAAATGGGGTTTCCCCTAATATATATATATTTTTTAAGCTTGTCGGACTTGGAAGTTATTAAAGGATCTATAAACCTAAAACACAATTTGGCTTGCACAAATAAGCGATCAGTGACATTTTCCAAAATTTGTGTGAAAGAGCTGAAAGACCGAATAATTTGAGAGTAAACTTTTTTTTGCGGGAGCAGTTTTTGCTACACGGCCAACTTCCTACCTCCCCGGCGTTTACTGATAAATGGTTGCCCTTGTTTTAAACACGACAGTGTGATGTATTTTAAGTTCTGCTAAAGTCAGAGAACTTTTAGTCGTTAATATATATTTTTTTTTTCATAGGGCAACTTGTGTTTTAGGTTCAGTATTCCTTTACTTGGGGTATACTTTTTTTTTTTTCTTAGATTTGGCTAATGTTTTTCTGTCAGACACTATTGAAAAACACAGAGAAAAGCCATAGACAGCATTTTCTAAAGGAATAAAAAGGATATTTCCTTTTTTTTTTTTCTAAATTTTCTGAACTGCTTAGCTGGGCCTTTCGGACATTGTAGAATATGATGCAGGCCCTTTGCAGCAGTTCTGGGACCAATCACAGCTCTTCAGAGACAATTTGAGGCTGCCACGATGCAGCCGGTTTTATACAGAAGGCCTTATCTTTTTGTGTTTTTATTTTTAATTTGTGTTTGTACCTGAAGGAAATGATCAGGACGTGTTTCTTTATGGTCCTGTTGATTACTTTTTTCTTTTCCCCCTCCGTCGTATTGTTCAGAAAACACACAAACAAAAAAACTGACTATAAATCGGTTCTGTTTCAAATCAAGATGTATTATTTATTGCAGGTGACGTTATGTAAACCATGTCTGTTATTTGTTTCAGCTTTTACTTTTCATGTATAAATTTGGATTCCTTGTTACATTTTTTTTCTTTTTTTTTTTTCTAATCCTGTTTTGTGTACTTGCTGATTTATGTAACAATATATGTACAGTCTATGTACTTTTTGGACTATTTTTATCACAGTATTATTTATTGCTTTCTTTCAATAAAATACTGAAGCATTTTCCACTGCCAATAAAAAAAAAATACTAAACATTGCAGAACTATTACTACTTTGTGCACAAAGGTTACACTGAAGAATCTGCTTACTGCATTGTCCAAAGTCTGAATTGGTGAATTGGGTCACGTCAATGGCATTAAAGAACTAGAAAAAAAAAAATATGATTAACACAGTTGGTCCTTGTTTATAAGGATCTGATCAGCCTAGTCTAAACGACTATTAGGCCTCATTCACACCAGACACAGTACGTTCCGGTGTTCTATTAAAGTTTGTGACTGCGTTAGAATGGGGGACAAGGGACGTGGTCACATTTTAACGTAATCCGTCCAGTTTTGTGGCGGTGGAATGTGTGACCGTTCACGTTGTCACACGTTTTAACATAATCACGCCCACTTTTTGGCGGTGGAATGTGTGACCGGCAAACGGTGAAGAAATCCAATGCTTTCTCAGTTGTTCCAGGGCAGATCGGCATCGCAGATGGTATGTGCAGGAGACGCGATCTGCCCTGGAACAGCTGATCGGTCCTGAAAATGTCACTTCTATCCGACTTTGTGACTGCGATCTCACATTCCACACAGTCGGATAGAAGTGACATTTCAGGACCGATCAGCTGTTCCAGGGCAGATCGGTTCTCCTGCACATACCATCTACGATGCCGATCTGCCCTGGAACAGCATTGGAATTCTTCACCTTTTGCCGGTCGCATATTCCACTGCCGAAAAAGTGGGCGTGATTACATTAAAATGTGTGACCAGTCACACATTCTAACCCAGTCACAATCTTTGATAGAACACCGGCCCCATTCTGGCCAGAGCACACTGCATCGCATTGCGGCCAGCTCACTATGTTGTGGGGTAGGAGGGGGCATGGCGGTCCATTACGTGTGCATGGGTCCTAAATATATCCGATCACTGTCATTACCGACATTCCAAAATAGTGAAGCTGCACACTGCTGAACCCTTGTAAACAAAATGCATGTGAAATGTTTCACCCCCTAGTGGGACTTGATTGTAGCGCAACAGTGCAAAACACAATAGAGATGGGGCAGCCAAACTTTGTTTTTCTAGCTGTGGTGAAACTAGAAATCCCATGACACATCCCTATATAGGTTGAACCTGATGGACCTGTGTCTTTATTCAACCTTACCTACTTTAAATCTATGGCACTGTGCATTGCAAGTCTCTAATAGCCACAGGCATGACTCCCAAAGATAATGCCTGATGGGGGTTTGTAGTTTCACCACAGCTGGAGGGCTGACGTTTGCCTGCTCCTTCAGTAGAGTAAAGATGTGGGTGGGAGTATCTGCAAGAGTGTCTGTTCCGCAAAAAGAAAGTTTTTCTTCTACAAGGGTGCGGCTTCCCTAATTTTGAATGCTTGGGGAGGTGACCGAACCTGGAGGTTGCTGGCACCTGCGACCAGAGGGAGTGAAGAACAGAATCTCAAAGCCGTTTAAAGGAGTGACCGCCATCATTATGGTTTTCGAATCTGCAGCCAACATTTTGGCTTCATTACAGACTGACTCACTGACCTTGACCAAGCATTCAAGAAAGATACGGCAGCTCCAGTATTCATTTATTGACATGTTTACTGTTAAGAAGGTGAATTTGTCCTCGTCTTATTCAGCATATCCGTTTAGTGTTTTAGATGGAAATGACTCGGTCACTTCAATAAGGTAAAGGACAGTCAAGTTAAAGAAATTAGCATTTTGGGAAACACAGGAATGACTGCAGTTTAATCCCTCCACACCCTCACCCGAAAATCCTTTGGTCACCGGTGACTACTACTGAAATCATTTAATCCAAAGTCCTGATTCTGCAGGTCAGGATTCCCGGTTGCAGTGACGTTGCGGTCTAGATTTGCATGCCCTTGATCATTCAGGACAGAGTTGGGGTTAGTGTACACAAGCTTTCTAGAGCAGTTCAGGTCAGTTTGTGCTTTGCTTTTTTTACCTCCATACAAGTCAGGTTAACTGGATAGTAATCTAAGGCTGGCCATTCATCCATTTTGTTTTCCCCTCATTCAACCCGCGGGCTGAACGAAAACAATGAACCCGATTCCTCCAATACGAAAGGAGTGTCGATTGAGAAATCACCGCTGTTTACGTTGTATTTTCACAGGAGCCGCCGACCTGTCAGAATACCCGATTAGAGTGCGCAGCTCATTGGCTGCCGGCTCTGATCGATCATGACATTTTCCAGCCGGCTCCTTCGATCAGGAATGCCGGGTGAAAGGGAGCCGACGGCCCCATACACTGTGCGAATTTTCGGCCTGTACGTTTAAAATGGTCCGAAATTCGAGCAGTGTATGGGCACCTTAATAGAGCCATCTCTAATTTGGATCTCTTATTCATGTCCCTGATCCACAACCACTGAATTCTGCAGGAAGAATTGCATGCACGGATCTATGGTTATTGGGGAATGAGGCACAGATTGTCTTGTCAGGAGATGGCAAGCCTACCTAGAG